CGGTTTCTTTTGGTTATATCTCCTCCGCAGTTATCGGGTAGGTTCTGGTCCACAATCTGGCCTAACTACCCCATTTTCAGATATTTACATATCATCTTATACCCACAGGTCAACTACCCAACAATATCACAGTTACGTCATTGAGAGATCAGCCTGACTCACTTTCAGGTACTACGCCCAGAACCCACTATTCCCTAAAATATTTGAGGGGTACTGGTCCTAGGTTAGGTGGCCCAATTAGATAAAATATTTCTGGTCTTAATCCATAGGCTAGTGGTCCCGTGAGGCCAACATCCCTAACCTCACACTCGGAGGTAATACGTCCCTCGGGCCAAATCATAGCTAGCCGCCTCGCATCAATACAAAGAGAGGGCCTCACCTGTCACTCCCAATCTTTCTTATGCTTTAAATGACACCGAGAGGCCTACACCCCGCCACAACGTTCAGTGGCCTCAATCTTCCCCTCGGGCCCACGCATAGATAGTGCCTCTCAAGCCGCTTGGCAACTAGCAGGGTCTCATCTGTCACGCTCAAAAGAAGCTTAATTGTTTCACCGCTTGGTATTTAGCTAGCCCACCAGTACCCACCCACAAAACATTTTATACGACTGACTATTTATATTTATAATTTCAGTTATGTCACTAACACCAGATATCCCTGAAGAACTATCACTACCTAGCACACCCGCTAGGCCTGCCACCCCTGGTCCGGGTACAGACGTGAATAGCCCTGCATCCCTTAGATCATGGACCATACCACATCTTACAGCTGAACTAAGAAGACGCTGCATCCCTTTCCCAGCTACAGCTAGGAAGGCGGAGTTGTATAGGCTACTGTACACTACCACTGACAACTCCGAGGCAGGAGAAGGCCCTAGAGGATCGCAAATGCCAGCATTTCATGCTATGATGACGTCCCTTATGGCATCCATGGGTACAATCAGCGACAGGCTGGACAAATTGGAGGCCGGTAGTGTTACTCAGTCCACGACAAATACAACAGTCACCACTCAGCCTCTTGCTAATACCTTACCCGGTAATACCCTGTCAGCTACGGCTGATATAGAATCTATTGATCCTTCACACATGGTCCCAGCTCACCTTAAAAAATACATTCTGGAAGGCAAGGACGTTAACCTAGCTTCATTACTCATTGCCTCCCAGGATGTCCTTGAGAACAGGACCTTTGCTTGTGGGGATATTTCCGTAGTCCTTAGAGCTAGAGACCCTCGCCTAAACAAAAAATTGAACATCCCAGAATTTGTATTAGGGTTTGGCATCTATAGGGATGTATATTGCACTGTATACCCAGGGAAAAGAGCCGAGCTGGATACGTACATGCACAAGTTGGTGGATCTGGGACACAAATACGGTGGTACAGCGTTTTACGATTACCACCGTTCCTTTTCTGCAAAGGTGGCAGCAGCTCTGGCTCAGTTCAACTTAAGCATCAATTGGAGCAAGTTGGACACTGAGCTATTCTGTAGGCACTTTGAAGGCCTCAGGCCCCCAACTTGTGCAGTATGCTCATCAGCAACCCACAGCACAAATTTCTGCCCTAATACAGCTGAGGTAGAACAAAACCAAGCAGCAACTAACCCCCCAAGATCAAATAAAGGTTTGAAAGACAAACTAGGAAGAGATATTGTCTTCTTAGGGAAATCCCAAGTATGTAACAATTTTAATGCTGGCAATTGTGGTTTTAGTTCCTGTAGACTAATGCATGTTTGTTCACACTGTTTTAGGGCTCATTCCAAGACAATGTGCCCAAATAAAGCTTTCCCAAAACCCTATCTCACATGCGTGAACATCAGCTTATTCACCGATTTGCTACGTCTACACCCATCACGACATTTCAGCGACTATCTCATAACAGGATTATCGGAGGGATTTCACACAGGGTTAATACATTTACCTACAGGCACACTGGAATGTGACAACTTACTTTCCACACGAGATGACCCACAGCTGGTACATAAACTTATCACAACCGAGGTGAAACAAGGCTTTTTGCTGGGTCCATTCCTCTCACCACCCTTCACTTCTTGGAGAACCAATCCCATTGGGATTGTCACGGGGAAAAACTCACTTAAACCCAGGCTGATCATTGATTTATCCGCACCACATTCCTCCACGGTCCCTAGCCTAAATTCCCTCATACCATCTGAAGAGTTTTCGCTACATTACGCCACTATCGACCATGCCATCGGGGCTATCATTAAAGCTGACACAGGGGCATGGTTAAGTAAAATGGATGTAGTGAATGCCTTCAAACTACTGCCTATGCACACTACACTTTGGCACCTTCACGGCATTAAATGGGAAGGGTTATACTATTTCTTCACTCGTCTCACTTTTGGCTCTAAGAGCAGCCCGCGTATTTTCAACACATTTGCAGAGGCTTTATGTTGGTTGTTGCTAAATGTTTACAAATGTCTCTCAGTGATTCACTATTTAGACGATTTCCTCACAATTGAGAACAACACAAGTCCACCCACAAGTTTAAAACACATGTTGCATTATTTGAGTCACTTTCTGTTCCAATCTCCCCACACAAGACCCTGGGGCCCGGCACCCAGATGCAATTTTTAGGGATACAACTAGACACAGTACACATGCAGGCTAGCCTCCCTCATGAGAAAATTGAGCGTATCCTGGCAAGTATTGACCACTAAAAGATATGGAAGGGCTGCGCCAAATAAGGGTAGATAGTCCAGTAAAGTATTGCTAGGGTGCCAATAGATGGCCTAGGATACTTGATAGAGTTCCTCTGTGGATGCGTCTGGTGTAGACCGTTCCGTATATGTAAATACAAGAGAGGTAGAGGCGACTAATGGTATAGTATGAAAGTTCAGGGTGTGATAGGTAACAAAAAGTAAAGAACTCACATACAGGAGAGCTATGGCCAGCTCTGGTGTGGATTGCGTACAGCGGTATAATCCCCGCTTATGGGATATGTAGGGAGGGGTCTCCGTCAGCACCGTCTGGTAGTCCAGAGCTCGAAAAAAAAAAAGACAGAAAGCAACAATAGTGCTCTCAATTTTGATGTGGTTCAATGTGCAGATAAGAAGAGGTAAAAAACTCACATTTGAGGGAGCTATGGCCAGCTCTGGTGTGGATAGCGTACAGCGGTATAATCGCTTATAGGATAATGTGATACCGCAAAGCTGAGATTGTCATATCACCAGGCTAACCATAATAATATACCTTCTTATCTGCATTATTTCGATATTTACTCTTTCTTTCATTCTGAACTACAATTATACACCAGAGCTGACATAGCTCTCCTGAATATTCTTTATTACCTATCACCACCGAACACATACCTGTCTACCTCTTATACCCAGCGATACCAAACGCATCACAGAACAAACCATCTATTGGCACCCTAGCAATACTTTACTGGACTATCTACCCTTATTTGGCGCAGCCCTTCCATATCTTTTTGTATCTATCCACCGAAGGACCCGAGGGGTTTTCCTTCATTTGGGTTGCTGCCTACCTTGACTAATTTTGTGATTACTAGCGCTGAATTCTTTTTGTGTTTAAGTATTGACCACTACCTACAGCAAGGTCGTTGCACTAAAAAAGACCTACAATCATTGCTGGGATCGCTTAATTTTGCAATGAGAATCATTCCCCAGGGGAGATCATTTATTTCACATTTGCTATCACTATTTCCACAATTCACCTCAGACACATCTTACATTTCACTAGACAATCATGCGACATCCGATTTGAGCATGTGGAGGATTTTCCTCACTTCTTGGAATGGGCGTGCCATGTTTATACCATCTCACTCAGACACTTCACCTACAATATGGACAGACGCTGCAGCAAACACGGGGTTTGCAGCCATATGGGGAGACCTATGGCTCGTGGGGCCATGGCCAACTGAGGTCAAATCACTCACAAAATTCACAGAGACCTCAGCTTTATTCGAATTGTACCCCATCGTGGCTGCGGCCGTTACCTGGGGCCGCCAGTGGTCCGGTCACACGGTTTGGTGCTATTCTGATAATATGGCTACTTGCCATATTGTCAATAAAGGCCGGTCATCATCCCTGGTAATTATGAGGCTCTGCCACATGGGTAGCAGCCACTTGTCAATTATTTCTAACATGTATTCACGTTCCAGGGTGCACAAACATCGGTGCTGATCACTTGTCTCGATTTCGTTTTCAGGAATTCTTCACGACACTACCCACCGCCTCCAGACGGGCAACTCCAGCCCCACTTTTCACAGACATGATAATGGATTAAAAGCTTTGTTAAATCACGCACGTCACATTTCTCACCTGGCACTCTCTGTAAACACTGAAACACTTACGACAGAGCTTTTCACATTTTCAAAAAATTCATCACTGAATTTCACATTCACGATATGTTCACGATAGAATCAATATTGGGTTTCACTTCTTTTTGCCACATCAACCTTAAACTATCATTTAACACTATAAAACTATACCTTACGGGAATTCAACACCACATGCTTATTCAACAACCCAACGCCACGAGTTTCCTGTCCTCATATCAAATCAAGACAGTTCTTAGAGGCATTAAGAAATTAGATACACATGTCCCCGGGAAACGACTACTTATAGATAACCATATATTTCATGCACTAGTCAACTTGTTAGATTCCTCTCCTTTTGAGCCCAGGACAAACACAGTAATAAAATCAGCCATATATCTTGCTTTTTATGGATTCCTCCGTCCCAACGAATTCACAACTAGGACTATCACGTCCCCCATTTACCTAAGAACCATGGACTTAGCGAAACAGAACGACCATTACCTACTCATGCTAAAACACTCAAAAACCAGAACCATAGGTCATACCGTTACGATCCCCTTGTACCCTACTCATAACAAATGGTGCCCGGTACAAAATTTTGACAATTATCTACTATCACTCCAGAAACAACCATTACAACCTTTGCTAGAACTGCACGGTAATGTTCTAACTACAGCAAAGTTTATGCTCTATGTAAGACTGCTGTTGACTAGACTCGGCTTGAACCCTAGTAAATTTTCAGGTCATTCTTTTCGAATCGGAGCAGCATCTACAGCTTCTGCTAACCACATTCCTCCGCACATCATCAAAACAATGGGACGCTGGAAATCTTCCGCTTATACTCTCTACATACCCAATCCTGTTAAAGAATTAAGACTAGCTTTCTGTGACTTATATGCTATGCTACTGTTATTATATGCTATGTTTCCATATACGGCTATATTGCCACGACCACAAATTAAAAGGCTTGGCCTGTAGTTGTGGGAGGGGCTTGGTTTCCCTATAAAAGGGCTGTCAATCCACTCCCACATTACCGTTAATGGTCTGGCGAGTCACCCCACCCACCACTCCCTCTATTACAAACACCCTCTAAGGTGGGCCCACTTTTACAGGCCTACTCCTCTGTCGGTTTCGGCACACCACAACCGACTAATTCCAACTAATTGATATGCATGTTATTATGTGCTATGTTTCCATTTACGGCTATATTGCCACGACCACAAATAAATATATATATATATATATTTTATTATTATTATTATTATTATTATATTTTTTTCCCTGGCTCTCGTATCCCCTAACTCAAGATTTGGCTTAATCTAACCAAACTCTTTCTCTTCTCTATACCACCTTTGGGGTTTCGGTATGCAAAGAATTGCCCAGGGTGAAGATCCTTCTTTCCAATGGAAATAACAATAGGCTAGTTTATGATAGACCTGACAAGATTTCCCTTGGTGACGTAGCTAATGAATATTCTTTTGCTATACCTAACAGGCAGCAAGGTTTTTTTATTTCCAATACTGTTCTATTCTCTCAAACATTTATGATTAAAATGATCTAATCTTTGCCTACCCTGCAAGGGAAGGTTGACCTGTTCTTCGGCAAGCACACATAGTTGTAACATGATATGTTTTTTCCTCCCCTGCTCTGGATGGCTATTCTTTTTGGATTGCAACAATAATAAGATTTTTTTACAAAAAATTGAAATCACTGTTTACTAAATAGAAATTTTATTATGTATTTTCCATTTGTTGCATGTCTAGAAACAGCTGGCAAAAGCTACAGATCTATTGTCTGAATCATTTGCAAGTTCTCCCCTTCTTCCTCCGCCCAGACTTTCTGTGGCTGTCCAATGACAGACTTCCCAATGCAGCTCAATGAGAAGTCTTTACAAGGCAGTTGCGCTGAGAAATTGCTGCCTCTTGAGTTAAGCTAAACAACCATGAAGTAACAGGACTGGTTGTCTAATTGACAGCCAGGAGGGTGTAACAAGGTTAATTTTAAAAAGTGCCACTTTCTTTTAAAATCTGCACTTTTTGTAAAATGAATAAAGAGGACACCAACCTTACCATATAAAGCACTTCAGCAAGCTGGAAAAAATCCTTACACCCACTAAATAATGTTTTGTCCTTTTAAGTGCCTATTACATTATCTGCCTACCTTTAAGTCATCAGAAATAATTACCCCTAAATCCCTCAGATGTTGAGGTTAGGACTCTATCAAATATTCTGTACTCTGCAGTATTATAGTCTTCATAAATTTCATAAAAACCGTCAGGATCCACCAGGGAGACCAATCATATGTGGTAACAACAATCTAATGCAAAATGTGAGCATATATGTAGTCAGAATTTTGCCTCTATTCGTGGAAAACCTGGCAACGTACCTTCGTGCCAAAGACACTTTGAAACAGTTGAATACTGTGAGAGTCCATGAGGGAACCCTAGTCTCCAGTTTAGACGTTGAAGCCTTGTACAGTTCCATCTCTCATAAGGAGAGATTAGAACATAAAAGGTATTTTTAATAAAAGAAAGGCAAGAGTTTCACAGCATAGTGAATTCACTCTGAACCTTCTTCTGTTCATTCTTACCCACAATTATATTTCTCTTTGATGGTAAAATCTACTAATAGGTCTACTAACACTGTGATGCTCATCTTTTGCCAACCTGCCCATGGGGTGGTTGGAAGAACAAATTATGAACATATTTACCCCCACATCTATATGTGGAAACATTTTATTGATGATATCTTGGTCATATGGACAGGTTCCAGTCAGCACTTTTTGGGATTTCATAGTGTTAAATAATTAGAATTTACATTTCACATATGCAATCCAAACACAGAAACAAATATTTTGGGATGTTTCTATCATCAGGGCTGATTATGGAAACACAGCTACTTCCCTTTACAGGAAATCAACAACCACCAACAGCTTTTTAAGCTGGACAAACTTCCACTCAGCGTTGTTAAGAAGAGATAGTCCAATAGGACAACATCTACAGCTGCACCGGAATTTCTCTGATATTGAGGATTTTGTAAGTAAGTAAAAAGCATCACAACTGTTTTCAAAGAATGGGGATACCCAAGTAGGTGTCTGAAGGAAGCGTAGCTTAGTAGGAGAGTACTCTTGGCAAATTGTGAAGATTTAATGGAGAACAGTGAAAAATCTGATACCTCAATGATTAACTATAATGCAGGTGGGATGAAATGTTACAGTATTCTCAAGTGCTTTTGGACAATCTTAATGCAGGATCGTCATTTGAGGGAAGTTATTTCTCCAAGAGTAAATATTATAGCACACCATGGAAAAAAACACAATAGATGGATTGGTCTCAAGTCACTATGGCTATAACTTACTATTGTTGGATAAGCTTTTAAAATGATCTAATATATTTGGATAAACTGTTAAAAATATTTTTTCAATGTAATAAAATTAAAAAAAATTAAATCATGTGTAAAAAATATTTTTAAAATATTTATGTAAATATATAAAAATATTTTTAGAATAAATTTTTTTTAAATATAGCAAAATTATTTTTTTTTAACATTAAAGTTTATCCAACACTACTCATTTAAATACTTACCTTTTGGTTGTGGGTTAACTTTAAAGGAGGCAAATAGGGAAAAAAAATTTTTTTAAAGGTGTGTTTAATGTGCATGGGGAAAGTTTTCGGTTCTGTGCGGCAATTTCGATACTTCGGGACTTCGCCACTTCGGCACTTCAGCAACTTCGGGATTTCTCAACTTCGGGATTTCTCTTCGGGTGGAAGGAGGA